TACGGTCCATGTCATGGTTTCTAGGGCAAATTGAGAGCAAACATCGTGGTCCTCAGCTCAGAAAAGAGGGAGGATGGCATACATGAACAGCTGCAGTCGTGCTTCTCAAGGCTTCATGAGAGTTTGGAATCGCCATGATTTGTAGAGACCCTGGTCACGATTGGCATGTGATGTCGTACAATGCTCTTGACGATGGCCTGTAGCCATTACAGCACAGGAAGACTTACTGGCTCTTAGTAGGGAATAACAGAATATAGTTTTCATGTAATCCCTTATTCCCTTATTCCCTCGGGTTGTCATATAATCCCTTGAAATATCGTCCCTTATTCCCTAGAGTTGTCATACAATCCCTTAAAATATATTCCGTTATTCCCTGGTAAGAACCAGTAAGAAGACGTTGCCTCGCTATGTCGATCAGTCTAAGGGGTTCTGTGGGGGAACCCACCAAATCTAGACCTATTTCCGGAGCTAGACCTCACCAGCGGAGCCATGCATATACATATCTGTATATATGTGTATACACACATATGTGGTCACCCCTCCCCCCCAAAGAAATAGCCTACATTTGTATGGTTTCTGTTTACATGGACAACGCCCGCAAGATCTATTTTGTGATAGAGCAAGCTGAAAACACTGTAAGTAACAGTGTCTATCCCAGACCCCCTATAGGATCCAAAAAATGGAACCCCCTTATAATCCCCTAGTTGCCCCAATGTAGCAATGGGTTCATATTGTGTGGGTTCCATTTTTTGGATCCTTTAGGGGGTCTGGGATTATGCTTTTTCAGATACTATATCAGGAGATTCGAGTTGATTTCTGCATTGTGAAGTATGAGCATCGGAAACCGGATTCTGGTTTTGGAAATTTGCGGTTCTTATTTTTCGGAAGAGAGGGGATCAGAGAGGGGTCACCGATTTTGATACTCAGATGTGGAGACATTTGGGTTTCGGACTAAAATCTATGAATTCCGTTCGAAATTCAATTCCAGAAATAATGCGAAAGCCTGAGTTCTTAGCTTTCTGGATTTCCATTTGACCTTGGCTTCCTTTAACAACTTCACTGGAAAGAACACGGAAATCCTGGATTCCTGGATTTACGATTTTCGAGACAGTTTTGGTCGAGATGGATTCCTTATATGCTTTATTCAGAAATGATACAAAAAACCTGAAATCCTGGACTTCCAGTCTTCGATAGGACTTTGGTTTATATGAACTCCTTTTAAGGTTTGATTGAAGATAGACCAGAATCCTAGACTCCTGGCTAGCCCAATGCACAAAGCAAAACACAAAACAACACAGAATTAGATAGCCTGAAAGACGCCCAGTACAGAACTCTGAAAGCCCTCAACCCCTAAACTGCCCAACCCATCCTGAATAACCACGTGGAACTCCCAAAGCCACTCGACCCTCAACCTATCAGCCCTACTCTCGCTGTCTTGGGGTGACATGTTTAGGGTTTAGAGGTTTAGGCCTTAAATCTTAAACCCCAAACCCTTAACCTCTAACCCTAAACCCCAAACCCTAAAGCCCAAAACCCTAAACCGTAAGCCAGCCTGGAGGCCTCGAGCCCCACTGGCACTACGTCGGGGCCTAAACTTGGGAAGTCACAGTGTAAGTGAAGCCAAGCAGCCACTGCGTAGATTCCAGGCGCAGCGATCCATGGGCATCGAATTTCCTGAGGCCGTCAGAAGCCAGTCTG